GGCTCAGCTGCCATTTCTCATTGAACTTTTCATGGGTGGAAATTACCTTGTTGGATCTATCCCGGCTGTTCTTGGCAATCTCACAAGCCTGATTTCACTAGATTTCTCTTACTGCAACCTGACTGGTGAAATCCCTATGGAAATAGGCTTTATGCAAAATCTCTCATATCTACATCTCACGCAAAATCAGCTAACAGGTGTAATTCCAAGTTCTCTTGGGAATTTATCCGAACTGTCATTCCTAGATTTGCAAATGAACCAATTGTCTGGCTCAGTACCAGCAACATTAGGCAATATCCCAGCTCTGAACTGGCTTGATCTATCAGTGAATAACTTAGATGGAAACCTTGACTTCTTGTCCTCCCTTTGGAATTGTCAACAACTTTCGATCATTGCCTTAGATTCTAATTCTTTCACCGGGGTTCTCCCTGACCAAGTTGGGAACCTGTCTGCACAATTACTTATATTTTCTGCAAGTGAAAATAAGCTAACAGGTGGGCTGCCATCATCATTTTCAAATGTAACCAGTCTTGAACAGCTACAACTTCCTAGCAACCTGCTCACAGGGGCGATCCCAGAATCTCTCACCATGATGCGAAGTCTCGCAAGGTTAGATGTGTCTACCAATGACATTTCAGGCCCCATCCCGACACAAATTGGTATGCTCAGGAGCTTACAGTTATTGCATCTCCAAGGAAACAAATTATTTGGCTCTATACCAGATAGCATTGGCAATCTGAGTGAACTAGAAAGCATAATCTTGTCCCATAATCAATTGGACTCAATGATACCCGGAAGCTTATTCCTGCTTGGTAAACTTATCCAGCTAAATCTTTCTCATAACTCCTTTGCTGGTGGAGTACCCAATGATCTTAGTGGGCTAAAACAAGTTGATACAATTGACTTGTCTTCTAACTTTTTTCTTGGAAGTATCCCAGAATCATTTGGTCAAATTAGGATGCTCACCTACCTAAATCTATCACACAACTCATTCAGCTACTCAATACCTTACTCATTTCAAGAGCTTACTAGCTTAGCAACATTGGACCTCTCCTCCAACAACCTCTCTGGTACCATTCCCAAATTCCTTGCAAACTTCACATACTTGACAACCTTGAATCTCTCCTTCAATAGGCTAGAAGGCAAGATACCAGATGGAGGAGTCTTCTCAAACATCGCATTGCAATCTTTGATCGGAAATTCTGCATTATGTGGTGCTCCACGTCTAGGATTTTTGCCATGTCTTCAGAAGTCTCATTCAAATAGTAGACACTTCCTAAAATTTCTCCTTGCAGCCATCGCCGTTGCATCTGGCTCTACTCTTATTTGCATTTTCCTAATGATCAGAAGAAAATGTAAAAACAAGACAGAGGCTTCAAGTCACACTCCAGGTGACATCAATGTCATGAATCACACTATAGTCACCTATCATGAGCTCGTTCGTGCCACTGATAATTTTAGCAACGATAACCTATTGGGTAGTGGGAGCTTTGGAAAAGTTTTCAAGGGCCAACTGAGCACCGGCTCGATGGTTGCGATAAAAGTTCTTGACATGAACCTGGAAGTGGCAATTAGAAGCTTCGATGCTGAATGCCGTGTACTTCGCATGACTCGGCACCGAAACTTGATAAAGGTACTGAACACCTGCTCCAACATGGAGTTCAGAGCTTTGGTGCTCCAGTACATGCCCAATGGCAGTTTAGACATGCTCCTGCACTCTGAATGGAGAGGTCATTTAGGGTTCCTCAAGAGACTGGATATCATGCTAGATGTATCGACGGCAATGGAGTATCTGCACCATGAGCATTACGATGTTATCCTACACTGTGACTTGAAGCCAAGCAATGTGCTATTTGATGAGGAAATGATGGCGCATGTAGCAGACTTCGGCATCGCAAAGTTGCTACTGGGTGATGACAATTCAAAGATCACGGCAAGCATGCCTGGAACACTTGGGTATATGGCACCAGGTACTGAATGATATAACCTGTATACTATTGTTATATTAGTTTTGGTAAACCCATTGACTGGAATAAATCATTGATTAATTGTGGTTGATCAATGCGTGCTTAAAAGTTTGTTTCTGAATTTCATGATCAGAGTACGGATCACATGGAAAGGCATCGCGCAAGAGCGACGTGTTTAGCTTCGGAATCATGCTCCTTGAAGTATTCACTGGGAAGCGACCCACAGATCCTATGTTTTCTGGAGATTTGAGCATCAGGCAGTGGGTCCATCAAGCATTTCCAGCGAAGCTTGTTCATGTTCTGGACGACAAGTTACTGCTAGATGTGTCTTCTATCTGTGGCCTGAATCAACTTCTTTTGCAAATATTTGAGGTGGGTTTGCTTTGCTCAAGTGACTCACCTGACCGGAGGATTTCAATGATGGACGTGGTGGTGACACTGAAGAAGATAAAAAAAGACTCTGAAAAATCGACAGTAGCGGCAGCGCAGAAATGTGGTACCCAATGATCGATTAGCTTTTGTGGGTAGTTTTTTTCGCTGTTCGCCTCTTTTTTTTTTAACATAAATGGCAGGAGCTATGCCTCTTAATTAAGAAGAAAATAGTTTGAGATACAAAACCAGCTAGCATACAATCACCCTACTGCCATGTAAGGATACGCCGGCATACACCTGCGGCGGGCAAGATAGCTATGAGAACTAAGTGGTACACTGATACGCCCGTTTATATTGCTCTATGCATTCCTTTGTTCTCTCCGCCACCTGCTGGGCTGTTAGGCTCGTGTTTTCGAAAATTCTCTTGATGCGCTCTTTCCATAGATTCCACGTAATGTAGATGGCCATTCCATTGAAATCTCGCCGCTGATTTTTTTTTTGAACATGTTTCTCCGCTAGCTCCCACCAATCTCTGATATTGTCGAAATTTGAGGGGGTGCGCCTGCTGGGGAAGCACATTATGCTCCTAGATAGCAACTTGGTTCTAGGGATGAAAACGGTCGGAAACGGTCGAAAAACCTCTCAACCGTTTTCTACTTCTACATTTTGAATACGAAAACGAAAACGAAAGCGGTAAAGCCGGACACGAAAACAAACACGAACTTACGGAATATCAAAAATTTCGAAAACGAACTAATTCGAGCGGAATTATGTCGAACACGGTCGGTATACGAAAAATCAATACGGAATATTGACCCGTAGGACCAAGTGCATAATAATTAACAAGTACATAATAATTAACAAGTCCTACAACTTTCTTAAAAAATATCTCCATTCAACACGACGTAAGGAAGATATGATTTTTTTTAAGGCAACAAGCGCGTGTACGCGATTAATATATCGCTGACTTTGTTTAATTTTTTTGAACATTTTCAAGACATCAAATGAAAAAACTAAGAACTAGAAAGTGTAGATCTCGTTGAGAGCTACAATTTTCATATAAAAATCATCTTCATCCGAGATCGTATGAAAAAGATATAATTTTTCTAAGGTTGGACTTGTAGTGGGTCAAATTTGGTTTAAACCGAATTTCGAAACCGAATTTCGAATTCGGGATATTCCGAATTAAAAGTAGAAAAGTAGAAATCGGTCGAACAAAGCCTAAACCGAATTCGATCCGATTTCGAATTTGGTGTTCCGAATTTCGAATTCGAATTTAGTATTCCGTATTTTGTCCGAAAATACGAATTCGCTCGGGTCAAATATAGAAAACGATGCGGTTCGATTCGGGATATTTCCTTTCCGTTTTCATCCTTACTTGGTTCCAGACTACTTTGGGCATAGGGGCAGAGTAGGCGGAGATGCTGCCCAGATTCCATCGGCCCATCGCATAAGGTGCAAGAGCTCTGGTGAGGCCAACCCCAAAGCGCTAGGTTGTCAGCCGTGAGAATTTTGTCTTGGATGAGAATCCAAGCGAATAGTTTGCATTTATTTTCTATGTGTGCACGCCAAATGAGATTGGCTTTGTGACATCTATAGGACCCCAAAACTAAGCCCCGTATGCCGACCGGGCGGAGTATTTGCCATCAACCGTCCACTTCCAAGTGGTCGTATCCTCGGTCTCCAGGTGGAGGTGTTTTCCCTGTAATCAGATCCAAAGTGAGACAAACTCCTCCACCTGAGTTGCAGTCATGATTTTGTTTTGTAAAGTTTTGATCCATGTGTTGTTCCATAGATCTTGTGCCACTGTCTTGTTTTTTCTTTTCACCAGATCATATAAATGTGGTGCCCAATTTTTTTGTGCTTCTCCGTCAAGCCAGCTATGGTGCCAGAACTTCGCCTTCTTTCCGTTCCCAATGGATATGACGGTGGAGGCATTGAAAAGTAATCAATCTGTCGCGTTGCATGGAACTTTCATACCGACCCATGGCTTGTCCTCCTCATGTCATTCTTGCCATAACCAGCGCAGTCAGAGGCCCTATCAAATTTGTCGACGTCCAATACGCCGAGGCCGAAAGTCTTTTGGCATGCTAATGGTTGGCCAGTTTACCAAACTGTGCCCGCCGTTCGCATGGTCTTCCCTTTCCAAATGAAGGAGCGGCGTAATTTGTCAGCTTGCTTCCACGCTAGTGGAAAAATAGTAAGGTGGTGGGTTTGCATGGAGGACAGCACTGATGTAACAAGAGCTAGCCGTCCCGCACGATTCAAAAGTCGTTCTTGTTATGATGAAATGAGCTCTGTATTCAGTAGAAGGGGCTGGAGCCCAATATGTGTACATGTAAAATATGCAGAAGAACCCTTATACATATGGGAATATACAAACACACACATATCTCATAACAGTCCTTTCCAGCTCGGTAGGCGCTGCCCAATTTTCTCGATCCGTGGCTGCACATGAATTCTTTGTAGGGAGCGTGTGTGCAACTGGAGGCCTAGCAGCAAGGGAAGGCCTAGAGAGAGAGAGAGAGAGAGAGAGAGCAATTATATCAGTGCTGCTTACATATACATACCAGCAAAGGTACAAATTACATGTATAGAGGTTTCTCATAGTTGATAGGGCTTTCTTGTGGTTTTGAGTTCCAGAATCAATCAGTGTTTCCCTCAAGCCAGACTTTTGATGCCTAACGGTATAATCTTTCCGTAATCATTCTTATTGCGCCCTTCTGTGCTGCTGTAAATATACTTTGAGTGGCTCTTCTCCAGGAGCTTGATAATATGCTCCTCCAGATCCTCATCTTTGTTGCACCTTCGAATGGTATTGCTTTTGCCATTTGAGATAATGACGACTTCCTCTTTGTACGTTGCAAGCAGATTGGCCACAACAACGTTCATCCTGTACTTGTTCAGAGCCATTTCTGCTTTCTGAACTAGAATATCTGAATCCGTCTCCAGCTGTATGCCATTTATTTAAAAGAAGTTGGATAAAGGTTTTAATATTGACTAAAAAACTAACAGCGCATTCGGCGTGAGATATTTTCTCTCCCATGCCGTGGTATCAGATATCACCATTCTACAGACAAACTCACCTTGAAGGATATGCAGAAGGCCAAGGGGGCCCATTGGTTTCGCAGAACGGAAAGCATTTTTGGAACCTGACTGAGCTTCATATCCAGTGGGCCTCCGGCTGACTGAATCTTATGTTTTGCCTGCACAAGAATCTCCCTAAGAATCAGGAACTTCGCAGTAAAGCATGATAAAACAATGTTGGATGAAGTTTTTAACCCAATCAGACACCACATCTCCTACTACTGTAACTCTTACCATGCTATCCCATGGAACATAGAAGTCAGACACAGCTGCAGCGAGATAGAACATCCCGTGGAGACCCACAGAGCTCATAGATGTAGCCACCATCTTCAGTAACTGTAATCAAGTGTCGTGTGACTCTGTTCAAATTACCTTACTCCCATTTGACTCAAAGAAATAAAGCAAACATGCAAGACCTGAAGATATTCAAATATCGTGGTGAATGGGAGTTTCAGCAGAGAGCCTCCTTCAATAGCCTGCAAGTTCACCTGAGTCAAGGGCATCTGCACATCTGTATGCCAGTCAATACCCGGTTCAAATGTTATACCTTGCGATAATCCCCAATTGCTTTCTTTACCACCGTTGCTTGGGACTCGACAACTATTAAACAAACATGATAGATTTTAACACAGTAAGGAGGTAATTTTATTCTTTTGTTTTCATCTGTGGCACTGTGCTAGAAGCTGTAAATTACCAACCTTGAACCTTCAAATCTGTTGTGACATCAAAGAACTGGAGAAACGAATCATCAGGGAGGAACCTAGAGAAAGGTTGGCAACTCCCTCTGCATTCATGCACAACATAATGTATTTTAGGCGAAGAATAAGCTTTTTTGCAGTATGTGTATACTGAACAATCGAGAAAACTGGGAGAGGAAAAGTATTTGTTGGATTGTTTTGCAAGGAAGCAGCTGCTATAGCTTTGCGGATTACCGCCGATGGACGAAAATGACCGCATAGCCAGCCTTTAAGAAATACCTGTATCACCAGAAATAAAAACCGAAATGAGTACTTGAGAGTACTTACTATTCATCAAACTTGTACTGGACAGAGACTATACTTCCAGTGCATTTATGAGACAGTTATCAAGTCTAACAAGGTATCACATGGCACACCATATGTTCAGGGCAATATAAGTTTATGTAAAGCATGGGTTTGAAGAGAAAACATATGATATGTTCACTGAAAACACACAAAAACCAACCGATAGTGAACATATAATACTATGGACGCATAAAGGTGCAGTAAAGAAATTCAGTGGAAAAATATCCAACATGCCAGAAAACCAACAATTGGCCACCTCACTGATCCAGACCATTTTTCTAACCTTCGCACTTTCTAAATTCATGGTTCAGATCTTCAACCCAGGCATACAATCCATTTATTTAAATCAGCCAACTAGACTACATTTCTGAAATTAACAATATTTCGCACTACTGTTGCTAACTTGCTATTAGTATTGCATATCTTTTGCATGTTTGAGTGCAAGAGTTTCACTGGATATGGAGTTATACGATTAATAAATTAATGATCATCAGATTTTAAAAGCAATATGTGCCTCCAAAAGGATAAGTCCACCATTTTTTTTTTGAAAAATCTGACACTTCTCCAGCATATATATTAATAAGAAGAATAGAGTTTTAAATTCACGCACCAGTGGCGCGCGTAAGAAAATACAAGTTCTTCAGTATATACTGAACAACCTGCCACCCCTGCCTTTGCTAAGTTGATTTACATTAAAATAGCGGCTTCTTGACAGTGTAACACCATGTCTTGCTTCCTCTGTGATTGTGTTGAAAAGGTTTTGTACTGGTCTGCTGTTTTGCTTGGAAATTGGGGCTTGAAATTGCTTCCTCTGTGATTGTGTATTTATCTTTGTTTTTCATATCCGGTGTTTCAAAGATAAATACACTGTCCCAAATGGGGCTTGAAATTGCACTAATTTTGAAACACGCTCTCTCAAGTGGGTGTGGGTCGGTCATAGGTGCAGTGTAGTACACGCACTACACGCATACGGGACAAGCTCGTAATGAGTAGTAGAGTACTACCTAGTTACTATTCCCATCAATGTAGCACACTTCACGATCTATAAGTAGAAATAGATGTTTTGTCGAAAGGGAAAGTTATGATCGTGGTTGAATGGAGCGTCTGGTATGTGTTGAAACAGAGTATGGGAAAGCCAGTCATCAACATGGCGCACGAGAGCAGGAATAGCAGAAGAGGTGAGGCGAGGGCAAAAGCAAATTTACTCGGTGGACGCAGCGCCGCGGTGGCCGGAGCTGAAGTTGTCGATGTAGCGCACGCATCGCTGCTCCAGCGGCACCGTCGTCCCGCCCGACGTGACGCAAACGATCCGCCGCCGCCCGCCGCCCTCTGCGCGCATATTGCAAGCAAAACAGGCCGCACGGGTTAGCTAGCGCGTGGTCAAAGGCTCGTCGCAACACACACACACACACACACACACAGCCAGCCCCTCAGGTGTTCGACGAAAAGCCCCGCGCGCGTTCCGCGGCGGGCGGGACGTTATCCAGGGCAGCGCGCGCGCGCGGCTACCTGATGAGACGTGCGAATTGCACGCAACGAACTCCTGCAGGTTGGCGGCGACAGCACTGGCGTCGCGCAGCGCGGGCGAGGTGGCGAAGAAGGATTCCGGATCTCCCGCCGCGACCATTGTGGATTGCGGTGGGGGGTTCACTCGCGGGGTTTGGACCGCGGGCGGTTCGATGATGGAAGAACGACGAGAGGGGCAGGAGAGTATTTAAAGGAGAGGAGACTACCTAGTTGGTGGTTTGCTGTCCATCCGTCCACGGAGGGGTTCGTGCGGTGCATTAAGGTCTGTTTAACATGTTTTTTTATATATAAAAAAGGGCTCTTTAACATTGGGCCTAGATCAATCACAGTTTTTACGGTGTTGGCCTGGCAGCCGTTTGTTTTGTTTCTCTTCGGGTGGAAAGTTAGGAACGCTGTTCGTTTCGTTGGTGCTAGCACCCGAACTTCCGGTCGTTCGGTTCGTGTCCGGACGTTCGTGCCTCCACTCCATCTCTCGCGCGTGTCTAGACTCTATGCCCGCGTCCTTGCCAGCACGCCTCTGCCTGTGCCTGTGTTTTGCACGTCCACGCGGGCCCGCGCTGCCAAACCACGTGTGGAGACCGCTCGTGCCCCCTCCGCTTTTTTAAGCGATTGCAACATGTATAACATCGGATCTACTTTTATAACATATAGATAAAACACTTGCAACATACGTTCAAAATCGCTAAAACACTTACGACATATGTGTCAAACATTTGCAACATCTAAATGAAACACTTGCAACATATGTGTCAAACATTTGCAACATCCAGATAAACACACTTGCAACTTATGTCGAAAAAAATAGATGAACATTTTAAACAAACTCTTGCAACATACGTGTATAGCCATTGCAATATGTGCAACATCCCGATCTACTTTGAAACATCCATATGAAACACTTGGAACATACCTCTGAAACATAGAAATATACTTTTGCAACATGTGCTTTCAGTACAACATCTCCTTGCTGCTTTGGAGAATGGAGGCTCGTCAGCATATGGGGTTCACCGGTGTATAGCTCACCGGTGGTACGGAGCTCGTCGCTTCGGTGGAGAAGGCCACGACAGGTCCGATGTAGAACGCCGCTCTCGTGGAGAAGGTCGCGGCATATCTGGCGCGAGCTATCACCGCTCCGGTGGAGAAGGCGGTCCGCACGTTGGAGAAGGCCGCGGTGGGCAGGACGCGCGACGTATATCCAGGAAGGCGGGAGGACGCGGTCGAGCGCGGTGGAGATGCCGACCGGCAGGCCCAAGGACACCGTGGAGAACGCCGAGGCGGCGCGGTGGAGCGCGGTCGTGGTGGAGCACAGTTGCAACGCTGCAGTGGAGAGCCTTCTAGAGAATAGAGACAACAGGCTATGGTTAGAGGCGAGTTGTGTCGCGTGTCGCGGCCCACGAACAGGAACAACCGGACAATCGGATACCCTGACCATAGCATTTCCGTATTTGTTTTGATGCTTCTTTTTATCCACTCCAATAATATGACATTATTGTACATAGCCTGCTATAGCTTTTTTAAAGGATCTATAACACTATATTGTTAAGGATCTATAGCACTATGTTATCGTGCATTGATATGGATCCGACATGTGGGGGTCCACGTGTTAGGTCCACGTATCATCTCTATTCCTCATCTCTTACACATATGACATATTTGTTAGTGGCGTCGAAACTGTAATCTATACTCTATTGCCAATTCGCCAAAGAAAAAAAGTGCAAGGTGTTATATGCCCTTGATATTTGACTAGTCTATGGGATCAACTTGTAATATAATTTGTGTAACTGGACGACCTGCTCTATTTCTGTATGATTATCTTCAAACGGTTTCGATCAAACCTTTTTGTGTAGAAGTGTTCCTTACATATTCCCCTTATCGCTGGCAGATGATACTAAAACCTATAGTAGCACGCATGTGCCCCCTAATAACTCAACCTTGCTTTTGCCTGTAGGTTTCTAAAGATGAGAGGTGACTTGATTCTGACCCAGCTCGCAGGATTTTGACTCGGTAGCGACGGAGCTCGGATGGTAATACTAGTCATGAATCACAAATCAGCAAATGAGATAACCCCAGCCAGCTAGTACTCTGAGGTCCGATATGTCTCACTATTGATGACGGTGCAGTTTCTTCGTCATTGGTAGGCTGTATGGCCATGAATTTGTTAATATAAATATTATTGGGCTCGTTTAGATCCTTTCATTTTAAAGGAATTAGAATCTACTTTATCAAATAGATTATTTGTTATGAAATTTGACATTCCATAATTTTTCCAAGTTTAGATATAAGCTTATCTCAAATTGATAAGGTGAGAGATAGAAATTGATTCTAGCATTGTTTCTGCTTCATAACTTCTAGCACGTTTTTCGGCTCGTTTCTCTGCAGCAAAACTGCAGTAAATAAGTATCTCTCCTATATTGACCAACAACAGTATACAAGTATGTTTCGCATGTTACCATATTCACTTAATTTATTTGTGTCTAAATAGTGATTATTAAAATAAATTCTAATTTCAAGGATCCAAACATGGGCTTATATTATTCAGCAGGAAAGCCGCCAATAAGAATTAAATCTGAAAGTGCGAGGCTTCTGCGATTTTCATAAAAAATGAAGTATTACCTCCGTCCCCAAAAGAATGTAATTCTAGCACAGTGTCATGTTTTAGTAAACTAATTATATATAAAAAAGTATTTATGTTTATGATACTAAATAAATACCATCAGATTAACTATAAAATATATTTTTGTACTAAATTAACTTAAAAGACATAACTATAAATATTATTCACTGAAAAATTAATCAAACGTGAACCACTTTTTGTGATAGTGCATTCTTTTCGGGACCGGGCAGTAAAAATCAGCAGATGAACCCATCACCCATGTGAAAAAAGCAGAGCCGTTTATGAGGGTGATGGGGATGTGTCGTGCTTGGCCCGTTGCCATTACGTACGGTGCCTGCCTTGAGTGCAGCTCACCTGGAACCCAACCACTATTAACTGATGCTAGAGGCTGCTAGGTTGGGTGCGGATAGATCATAGATGTACGGTTAATCGCGCCGGGCCCCTGCTGCCTGCGTGATCATAGCTGGTACCACCGAACCATTCATGCATGCACGCGCAACCGACGGGCCGTGCCATTTGCTGGCTCGGGGAGCTTTTCATTAGGCAGGGGCCGAACCTATTTAAGCGACGCCCTTTTGTTACATTACATCAAGATTCAAGAGCCTGCGTTTCTGGTTGAGCAAAAGTAGCTCCCTTCCAAGTAAGAACAACCAATAATAACACATGCACACATCATTCCTGGCTTAGGTGTAGCACTGCACATTAGTGCGAGGCGGTGGTACACCGTACACACACGTACGTGGCCTTGGCAGGTCCACGAGGGCACGAGGGCCGGATCGAGCATTCGAGCTGGGCCGGTGTCATTACAGGAACAGCTGGGAATCATCATCCAGATGATGAATCATGCATGCATCAACGTATACGTCCTGTGGTCGGTCATCAGGGAGTCTCCAATTATCCGTTCTGGGCTTCTGGCCTAGCCTGTCCCGTGCGCGTATCGCGCGGCCCCCCTTTGCCCCTTTGCCCGTGCATGGATGCGGCGGGCTATGCAACATCGCCCATTATCAATGCTCCTTTGCGCGCACACCGTGCATTGTTGTTAGCAACGCAACCACCAGTGGAACCCCAATCACAGCAACCGTCTAACACCAACTTAAGCAAGCACAAGTACCGAAGATCCAATACACTGAGAAATAGAGTTCGGGGTAGGGCCGGGAAGCAAAGCAGGAGTAATCGAGGATCTGGAGTAGAACACGGAGAAGGCTCTAGAAGGTTCTAGAGAGATACATGAAGCTTGAGGTAGAGGAAGGGCCACCGGAGGACAGGAGGAAGGAGGAGTTGTTCTGTTCGTTTGATAATAATAATCGATGTCGTCGTGGGGCTGCAAGGCCGAGACAGACCATATTGACTAGGCCCATACTTGGCCTAGGTTGACACCCTGACAATTGTCCTGCTCGGATGCAAGCCCAAGACCGCTTTGAACGAACCATGCGATACAACAGACTTCCAACAGCACCATCCTAGCTTCTTATGCCATACACATACACATACAATATGAAATATTTCAAATTGCAATTTATTTATTAGGGACTAAACATTGACATTCATCGAATATCTAAAATCCAACAACCAAACCCAGACCTTACCTGTCATGTGCACTACGGGGCGGTGCCACACTACCTTCAACGCCTACTGTTGACGATCAATATCGATAATTATAAATCGTCAATACACCTTAAATTTATTCTTAAAATCAATCACCAAAGATAGGTGTAGTGGTTTAAACTAAATATTTTCACGAATTTTGGTGATTTTGTAAATGTGGGAGGATTTATTCGAAAACAAGTCACCTGTCGGCTCCAGTCGGCTCCAACTGACCTTAGGGATAAATCTACACCATCAATTCAAGTCGGTTTGAATGAAAGGACGAGATTAAGTTGTGCCACGGATTCATGGGCCCACCAGGAGCCTGGTGCCCCCTATAAAAGGACCCCTAGACCCCCTCCAGAAAGGCATCCTGATTCATTCAGAGATCAAGTTCAGAAGAGGAGAGTAGATCTCTAATTATCATTAGTTCTAGTATAGTTTTAGCTCATAAACAAATACACTTGAACCGAAAGTGCTCCAACTATTTCTGAGTTTCTACAAATGATCATTGGTCAATTGGACCACATATACTATTTCAAACCTCATCTATTTGCTATATGTAGGTAGTTTTTTTATGTACAATGAATAAAATGAGCAGGAACTATGCCATTCAATTAAGAAAGAAATTAGAGATTAGTTACAAGTACTGAAAGGGCAGGTGTAAGCCTCTCAGACACAACACAACACTAGTTGGCTTACAGGACCTATTGGCCCCTGTTAGTCCTGAGAGGCTGCAACAACACAAAAAAGAGGTAGAAAGCATGTGCCAAAAAGGTCAACAAAAGAAATGAATGCCTCTATTTTTCTTTCACCATCTAGGCCACCTGTTGTGCTAGTTGGTATTTGTTGTCAAAAATGTGCTGAATCCGCTTTTTCCAAATGTTCTTTTTGCGTAGAAT